TGTAGTGTCTGCGGATCAATATCACTCCTAGGGCTTGATTCACGGGGATAAAGGCCAGATGGGCCCATTAGATCATCTCGTCTGACCTCCTGTGTATCACTGGCCATTACATGTCACCCAATTACCCAGCCTTCTGCTGAGCCCAGCCACTTGTGCTTGGCAAAATCATCCTCCAGAAAGGCCTCCAGTCTGGATTTCAAAACATGCCTTGCAGTGAGAGACTTAACGAGCTCAACCAGTTTAGCTTAAATCTCTCCTGGAGAGGCATTTTCTCGAGCCCTCAAATAATTTTTGTGGCTCTTCTCTGTAACCGCTCCAATTTTTCAACCTTCTTTTTAATACGTGGACACCAGAACTGGACACCGTGTTCCCGCATTGGCCTCTCCAGTGCTGTCTCCCTGCTCCCCTCTTTCACATCCACAGATCCCATCAGCCGGTTGGCCACAGCAGCGCACTGGGAACTCATGTTCTGTGCTTGTTCACGCTGACCCCTAAACCCTTTTCAGAGTCGCTGCTTTCTCGGATGCAGTCCCCCAACCCAGAAGTGACCGTAAATCCCTGTGTGAACAGAGTACGGGGGTGAAGTAGCACTGAATCATAGAATATCAGGGTTGGAAGGGATCTCAGGAGGTCATCTAGTCCAACCCCCTGCTCAAAGCAGGACCAAAGCTCGGTACACTGCTCTGTGATAATAAACAAATACAATGTGATAAGCAGGCTACTGGAATACGACTGTGTAGTTAAATGGGGCACTGTAAGCACAACTGGCAGTGAGGAAGAAGAACGGCTCAGGATAAACTACCCCAGGGTGCTGGGGGGAACGAGAGGGAGATGGGGACCCCATGGGCTGTCTGGAGACCCTAGGCCTGTCTAGCTCACCATTATAAGATGCACACACGCAGATTGTTGTTTTAAACCCCCCTTTTTCTCTAACCCTCTATTCCTAAGCAGGCTGCCTGGTCTCGGTATTCACCGCTGGTCACAGATCCCCGAAGGGAGAGCTGCAGGTGCTAGGTAGGTACCCAGTAGGTAGCCAGACCTACTGGGTAAGCAGAATTAATAGACCAGGCCTTGCGCTGCAGTAGCATGCATAAGAGTGGGAGACCTGCCGAATTTCACCCCAGGAGAAGTGACGCACAAGGCCGGACCGCTGAGGGCGCGCCCGAGACCACCCAGGGGACAGAGGAGCAGCTGCCAGTGTTCAGGGCACAGCTATGGCTGTCCAGGCAGGCAGTGGGAATATTTGTTTTTCTGGCCTACAGGGAGGGGTCAGGACTATGGGAGTCACTTCAGCCTGGGGCCTCGGCTTCCATTTCTTCAAGGACAAGGCAGGGTGCAGTGGGGAGGCTGCTGTGAATGCCAGGCTACAGCCTTAGCTTGGCACTAGAGACTATTTCTGGCTGCAGCCGTGGGTGGAGAAGAGATTGAAGGGGGAGCAGAAGATGGAGCCTGGGGGAGCTCCAGGCACTGGGGGCTGCACGGCAGAGGGTACAGAGGGGGCATCCAGATGGGCAGCTTGGCCCAAACCTCCATGGAACTGGCGTCTCGCTGGTGCTTCCCCAACATGCAGGGAGGATCGTCTATCCCAGGATGATGTTCCTCGGTACACGGGGCTCCCCAGTGACCCACACCCCAAAACATTGCTGGCTCCCTCCCCAGCACAAGGTCTCTGCCACTACCAGTCACTGGGGGTGGGGAGATCAGAGAGGAAACCCCTCAGAGGGCCCTGGGTCTCCCCCAGCAGGCGCTCCTTGGACACCACCCACAACAGGAGGCATCTGGCACCCGTGCCACCAGGCTCACATGGCTGTGGCCAGAGGCAGCACGGGCCTGGTCCTCACGGACGTGGGGCAGCAGATGTTGAGGGTCCCCTCTCCCGGGAGGAGGAGCATGTGCTGGGGGTGTCCCCATCATGGCATACAGTCCTGATGGGTGGACAATGGGTGTGTTCCCAGAAAAGAGAGGTTTGAGCGGCAGGACCGCTCCCCATGCACGGATGGGAGCAGAGGGGAACGTCCCAGCCCCCCTCACCCAGCGGCACTCACCGAAAAGGCGATCTCACACAGCTTCTTCACCCACTCCGCGCTCTGCTCCTTCTCTGCAGCAAACAGGTAGCTTCTGTCGCTGGTCTCCAGGCGGAAAACAGCCGTGCTGTCCTTGGGGCCGCTCTCCGGCATGGGCGCCACGCTGAGACAGTCCGCCAGGCGGATGATCTTCTTGTCCAGCCGCTTGGTGCTGAGTTTCTCGGCTGGGGCCCCTGGGTCCTTGCAGTCAAAGAACTCCAGGCGGGCGACCCCATGTTGGCTGGCTGGGTACAGCACAAACCAGTTCTTCTTCCATCTCTGCAAAGGCAGCACAGCAGGGTCAGCACAACGGCCTCTGCCCCCCACACCCAGACCCAAAGGTCTGTAAGCTGTCTGTATGGGGTAAGGACTCCCTCACTCTTGGTGCAGGTCTGGCTGGCAGAGCAGCTCGCACTCAAGTCATGGGGAGATTCCAGCCTGAAGCAGAACCTGAGGTCCATGTGGAGCACAGCAGGATTCGATCCCAAGACCCTCTGGGCTGGCAGGGACAGGGAGCCAGGGGCTGACACACACTCCTCCTGGCTGCCAGGAGCTGCAGACAGCAGCATTTCCCCACCAGCTGGTCCCCCAAAGAGACCAGCCACAGGCCTGCATGGGGCAGGTGCCGGAGGCCTCAACTCTGGGGAGGCTTCTTCAGAGAGATCAGATAAAGGCACAAGAGCTGGACTGGAGCAATGGGGGAAGGGCAGGTGGGGCGCTGGACTAGGGCGATGGGGGAGGGACGCAAGACAAGGGCGCTGGGGGAGGGGCAGGCAGGGCGCTGGACGGGGGGAACTGTCCTAGCAGAGTTGAGCGAAGGGGGAATCTCTCTCCGCGCATGGCAAGTAGCAGCGCTGAGGTCCGGGCCTGGACTGCGTGCGCTGGGTCAGCCAGGTCCAAGCCAGCAGGAACTCTGGTTGGTGCACGCAGGAGCTGAGTGCGGCCTGGGGAGGCTCAGCAGGAACTTGGCCTGCTGGATCCAGCTCCCCCCTGGCAGACCTGCCCCCCCACAGACCCAGCAGCTCAGCGACAAGGGCTATGCACATGGCCTGCAGTGGGGCTCCAATTCCAGCAGTGCCCTGGTGTGCCCGGCCTGGAGAGCGCACCCCGTGGTGTCACGCACCCCGGCTCTTTCCTGGACACGCTCCCTGCCCGGTCCAGGTCTCCCGGGCACAGCAGCCTCCAGGAGGGTGGCCGAGTGGCACCAGCTGGCCCCAGGGTCTGGACCTTTGGGGATGGTCAGCACTTCCCCTCTCTCCAGATGGCCACCCTGATCCTGACCCTTCCTAGCCTCTAACTGACCCACAGAGAAGGAGCTCCAGCCCCCCAACCAACCCCAAGCTGGGGCAAGGAGAAATACACCCCAGGCAACCACTGCCCCACAGCCCTCCCTGCACAGGAGCCCCCCGTCATGCCCCACCCCCCAACCTGCAGATGGGGCAGGATCTCAGGGCTTCTCCAGCTCATTGTGTGACTGTCCCCTGCCCCACAGACCACGCTCCCTGCCCTCTCCCCTGAACTCCCTGCCCACTCCTATCCCTGCTGCTGACTCTCGGGACAGGAAGGGGAAGTATCTGTGTCCTCACTTGCTTCCTGCCAAACTTCCCCAAATGTCAGGCACCCAGCGTGAGAGCCGGGGGAGGGGCAGGGGAGAATGAAACCCACACAAGCCGCCAGAGCCCCCCCATCAGCACCAGGCATAGTCACAGCTTCAGACACCTAGCCTGGGGAAGGACAAGGGGGCTGGGGCAGGTGCTGCACGATCTTAGCACAGAGAGATGTGTCCTGGACTGGGGAGCCAGTTATACCACAGGCTGCGGTCTCCTGTCGCCCCTCAGGCTCCAGGTCCCATACTCCTGCATCCAGGGGCTGGCTCCTGCTGCCTCGGACAGGCCCTGCCCCGCATGGGCTCTGCCCCAGCAACTAAGGCGCTTGAGCCAACAGCCCCTACAACAGCCTCTGCAACAGGGGGTGTCAGACAGGCAGAACGTTCTTGGGGGGGTCCCGCAGTGCTATAACCTGCACCCCTTTGCTCCTATGGGGCCAGAGTTTATTGCCCTTCAGGGCACAAACCCAACAGCATCTACTGACCCTTGCTCCTACACAGCCCAGGGCAAGAGGGGAGGGCTCTGGGTTCGTAGTCAGGGATCACTACATAAGAACGGCAATATTGGGTCAGACTAACAGTCCACCTAGCCCCATATCTTGTCTCTGACAGTGGCCAGTGCCAGATGTTTCAGAGGGAGTGAACAAAACAGGGCAACTATCGAATGATCCATCCCCTATCATCCAGTCCCAGCTTTTGGCAGTAAGAGGCTCAGGGATACCCAGAGCATGGGCATGCGTCCCTGACCATCTGGGCTAATAGCCACTGATGGACCCATCCCCCAGGAACTTCTCTAATTATTTTTTGAACGCAGTTACAGTTTTGGCCTTCAACATCCCCGGCAGCTGCCAACAAGTTCCACAGGTTCACTATGTGTTGTGTGAAGAAGTACTTCCTTATGTTTTAAACCTACTGCCTATTAATTTCCTGATTCATGTGTTCCCTATTCACTTTCTCCACATAACTGATGACTTTAGAGACCTCTATCATATCCCCCTTAGTCATCTCTTTTCCAAGCTGAACCATCCCAGTCTTTTTCATCTCTCCGCATATGGAAGCCATTCCATACCCCTAATAATTTTTGTTGCCCTTCTCTCTACTTTTTTCTAGTTCCAATATATCTTTTTTGAGATGGGGCGCCCAGAACTACATGCAATATTCAAGGTGTGGGCATGTCATGGCTTTATATAGAGGCATTATGATATTTTCTGTCTTACTAGCTATCCCTTTCCTAATGTTCCTAACATTGTTCGCTTTTTTGACTGCCGCTGCACATTGAGCGGATGTTTTCAGAGAACTATCCACAACAACTCCAAGATCTCTTTCTTAATAATAGCTAATTTAGACCCCCTCACTTGTTATGTATCATTGAGAGGTTTTCCAAGGTGCATTACTTTGCATTTATCAACATTGAATTTCATCTGCCATTGTGTTGCCCAGTAACCCAGTTTTGTGAGATCCCTTTGTAACTCTTCCCAGTCAGCTTGTTGACTCCCTCAAGGAATTCTAATAGATTGGTGAGACATGATTTCCCTTTACAAAAGCTATGTTGAATGTCATTATCTGTGTGTCCCATAATTCTGTTCTTCACTATAGTTTCAACCAATTTGCCTGGTACTGAACCTTACCGGCCTGTAATTGCCGAGATCATATCTGGGATCCTTTTTTAAAAATTGGTGTCACATTAGCTATCGCCCAGAAGCTGATTTAAGCAATAGGTTATACACCACAGTTGTTAGTTCTGCAGTTTCACATTTGAGTTCTTGGGTGAATACCATCTGATCCTGGTGACTTATTACTAATTCACCAGTTTGTTCCAAAACCTTCTCTAATGACACCTCAGTCTTGAACAGTTCCTCAGATTTGTCACCAAACAAGAATGGCTCAGGTGTGAGGATCTCCCACACATCCTCTGCAGCAAAGACCAAAGCAAAGAATTCATTTAGCTTCTCCACAATGGCCTTTTCTCCATTGAGTGCTCCTGTAACACCTCGATCGTTCAGTGGCCCCAGTGACTGGACAGGCTTCCTGCTTCTGGTGTACTTAACCCCCCCCCTTTTTTTTTTAAATGTTAAGTCCACCACTAATTGCTGAGTGGTGCACAGGCCAGGGGAAGGGCTGCCTTTATTCCTAACAGTCCACAATCCCAGGAACAATATAGAGAGGACGCGGCAAACCAGCCACTCCACCTATGGGGCGGCACAGAGACAGCGGATGCGAGGACAGGGGCCTGAGATGGCATGACTGGCAGAGTGCAGGACAATGTGATGAGCAGGGGCAGAGCTACACCAGGCCTCATGCTGCCAACCACACTGGCCCAATACGAGTTATTTCCTTTGGTTCCCTTGGTGCCTCCAGGAGGTCACAGCCCACGAGGACGCTGGACATTCGGTGTGAGACTGCACTCCGCCCACCTCCCACAACACCACGGGCGCCTGTCATCTGTTCAAGCCGAGAGAATCACCGAGGCCCTGCCAAGGCTGCTGCAGAAACCCCTGGATCATGCTGTGTAGTTCAATGGCACAGAAAAGTATCAGCCCAGGGCAGTGGCCAGCTAATGTCAGGAACACGGGGACAGGAGCAACAGATTTCCAGAGACACCAAACCAGCCCTGCCTTGCGGGTCAGCACATCCAGCATGGATCCCAGAGCCCCCCGCATGGCTGAAAAGGCACCAACGCACCTGAGCTGGCAGCCTGGAAGAAGGTTGCAGCAAGTGCAGTGTTACCTGAAACACACAGCAGAGAGGAGATGCTGCCAGGCAGAACACGTAGCCGCTGCCTCTGCCATCCAGACCAGGAGGTGGGGAAGGGCAGGAGGGGTTTTCCTCCTGTCCCTGGCATGGCCTCTGCAGCTCTGCAAGCCAAGCTCTATGCTGTTGGGATCTCACACAGGCTCAGCACACCCACAGCACCAGTACAACCCGCTGAAAGCCGGACCACCACCAGAGCCACCCCAGCTCAGCCAAGCCACTGGGACACCCAGGGTGACCACCCCCCGAGCAGACACGACTTGCATGGGTCATGGGCTCTGGCCTAACACCTCAAGAGCCCAGCGAGGGAATAGCAGTACCCTGCGTAGGGGGATAGGACGGGGACAGACGTCACAGAGCGATCGCAGGACGCTCAACACTGTGACAGGCACATGAGCACCTGGATAGACGGTCCAGCCGGGGGCTGCTGGCTAAGCTATGTAACTGGGTGATAGGCACTGATAATACAAGAACGGCCCTACTGCAGGGGTGGCCAACCTGTGGCTCCTTGTATAGGCACCGACTCCAGGGCTGGAGCTACAGGTTGCAACTTTCCAATGTGCCGGGGGGGCGGGGGGGGCTCACTGCTCAACCCCTGGCTCTGCCACAGGCCCTGCTCCCACTCCACCCCTCCCCATCCCTCCCCTGAGCCTGCCGTGCCCTCACTACTCCCCCCCGCCCAGTCTCCTGCACCCACCACGAAACAGCTGATCAGGAGGTGCGAGAAGGGAAGGAGGGGGCGGGGCTGCCAGTGGGCAGGAGGCGCTGGCAGCGGGGAAGCTGATGGCGGACTGCTGATGTATTACTGTGGCTCTTTGGCAATGTACATTGGTAAATTTTGGCTCCTTCGCAGGCTCAAGTTGGCCGCTACTGGGTCAGACCAAAGGCCCATCTAGCCCAGTATCCTGTCTTCCGACAGTGGCCAGTGCCAGGTGCCCCAGAGAGAATGAACAGAACAGGGAATCATCAAGTGATCCATCTACTGTCGCTCATTCCCAGCTTCTGGCAAACAGAGGCTAGGGACACCATTCCTGCCCATCCTGGCTAATACCCATTGATGGACCTATCCTCCATGAATATATCTAGTTATTTTTTGAACCCTGTTATGGTCTTGGCCTTCACAACATCCTCTGGCAAGGAGTTCCACAGGTTGACTGTGCATTGTGTGAAGAAATACTTCCTTTTATGTGTTTTAAACCTGATGCCTATTAATTTCATTTGGTGACCCCTAGTTCTTGTGTTATGAGAAGTAGTAAACAACACTTCCTTATCTACTTTCTCTACACCAGTCACGATTTTATAGACTTCAATCATATCTCCCCTCAGTCATCTCTTTTCCAAGCTAAAAAGTCCCAGTCTTATTAATCTCTCCTCATACGGAAGCCATTCCATACCCCTAATCATGTTTGTCGCCCTTTTCTGAACCTTTTCCAATTCTAATATATCTTTTTGAGATGGGGTGACTACATCTGCACTCAGTATTCAAGATGTGGGCGTACCATGGATTTATATAGAGGTAACATGATATTTTCTGTCCTATTATCTATCCCTTTCTTAATTATTCCCAGCATTCTATTTGCTTTTTGGACTGCCGCTGGACATTGAGTGGATGTTTTCAGAGAACTATTCGCAATGACTCCAAGATCTCTTTCTTGGGTGGTAACAGCTAATTTAGACCCCATTGTTTTATATGTATAGTTGGGATTATGTTTTCCGATGTGCATTACTTTGCATTTATCAACATTAAATTTCATCTGCCATTTCGTTGCCCAGTCACCCAGTTCTGAGAGATCCTTTTGTAGCTCTTCGCAGTCTGCCTGGGTCTTAATTACACCTCTACCCCGACATAACACGACCTGATATAACACGAATTCTGATATAACATGGTAAAGCAGTGCTCCGGGGGGGCGGGGCTGCGCACTCCGGCGGATCAAAGCAAGTTCGATATAACACGGTTTCACCTATCACGCGGTAAGATTTTTTGGCTCCCGAGGACAGCGTTATATCGAGGTAGAGGCGTATCTTTAGTAATTTTGCATCATCTGCAAATTTTGCCACCTCACTGTTTACTCCTTTTTCCAGATCATTATGAATATGTTGAATAGGACTGGTCCCAGTACAGACCCCTGGGGGATACCACTATTTACCTCTCTCCATTCTGAAAACTGACCGTTTATTCCTACCCTTTGTTTCCTATCTTTTAACCAGTTACCAATCCACGAGGACCTTCCTTCTTATCCCGCAGCAGCTTACTTTGTGTAACAGCCTTTCGTGAGGGACCTTGTCAAAGGCTTTCTGAAAATCTAAGTACACTCTATCCACTGGATCCCCTTGGTCCACATGCTTGTTAAGCAACGGCTTGTTATACTTTCTCCGGGCCAGAGGGGAAGGCTCTGGGGTGGCTGGGGAGCTGAAGGGCCAGCAGCGACAGGCAGGGTGTGGGGCTGGAGTCACATGGGGGTCACAGAGGCAGGTGTCTGGGGCCCAGCAGGTACCCAGGGTCCCCTGTGCTGAGGCAGCGCCAGAGCCATGGCCACCCCCCAGGGACCCTGAGGCGGGGGAGGGAGTAACATCCTTCCCCTCCTCTCTGGGGAGCCCCCAAGCTCCATCCCCAGGTCTCCCTACAGACCCCAGCACCAGCAGGCCCTGCCCCTCCCCAGGGGCCTGGCAGTGCTAGATCCCAGCCCGGCTCAGCCCCACCGGGGCACTGGGGCCAGGCAGGCTGCTCCTGGGGAGCCCCCCACAAAGGGGCAGCCCCCCGGGGCCGGGGCCAGGCAGGCTGCTCCTGGGGAGCCCCCCACAACGGGGCAGCCCCCCGGGGCCGGGGCCAGCGCCGCATGAGGCCCCTGAACCTCTGGCCGCCCCTCCCCGCTCTGGGGTAGCAGCTGAAGACGGGGGGGAGGGGTTAGAGCCCGGACTCCTGGGTTCTATCCCCAGCGTCGGGGGGGGGAACCCCAACTCCCGGGCCCAGATCCCGGCTCCCCTCGCGGCGCAGGTCGGACCCGCCCAGCCCCGTCCCGCGGCGCCCCGAGCTCCCCCGGCCCCGCCGACCTTAGCCCCGAACTTGTGGCCCTGCTGCACGTAGAGCCGCCCCTCCTTGGCCGCGGGGTCCATCGGGCGGCCCGGGCCCGGCACGGTCCGGCCGCGGCTTCCTGCTGCTCTGCCGGGCCTGGGGCGGGGCCGCGGGGTCTGCGCCCGACGGGGCGGGGCGCGGTGGGAAGGGGCGGGGCCTGGCCGGGGTGTGACGGGGGCGGGGCGCTGTGGGAAGGGGCGGGGCCTGACCGGGGTGTCACGGGGGCGGGGCGCTGTGGGGGGGGGGCGAGGCAGGGCTCATGCCCCAGCGACCCCAGCCTCTCGCAGGGATTGCGAGGGGGCCGCAGCCCAGCCCTGCGTGGTGTCCTGAGGACTGTGGCCCCCCCCAGCCAGGGGATCCCAGGGGTGAGGAATGGAAGGGCGGCTGCAGAGTTCGTTTCCATCCAAGGAAGTTGCTTGGAATGAAGGCTGGTCACTCAAGCTGGGGGTAGGTGGGTCAGATCCCCTTTGGCTGATGAAGCTGCCTGCCTAGCTGTCACATTTCTGTAAGAGAGACAAGGTGAGCGAGGGAATATATTTTATTGGACTAACTTCTGCTGGGGAGAGAGACGAGTGTTCAAGCTACACAGAGCTCTGATTCAGGGCCGTGTGGCTCCAAAGCTCGTCTCTCTCGCTAGCAGAAGTTGGTCCAATAAAAGACATCACCTCCCCCACCTGGTCTCGCTAATACCCTGGAGGGACACAGCTCCTCTGCACATTTTTGTAGGGCATTTGACTTAGGTGTCACCAGGCCAGCCACCAACAAAGTGCCCCCATGAAGTCAGAGGTCACGCTGCAAGTGGCCTGCCTCAGTTTCCCCTCCTCAGTAACTCAAAAAAGGCTTTTACAAGTCCATTAACAGCAGCCCTCTACGGGTTTTGGTTTATTAAATTAATAAACATTCCCAGGGCAGTTCTCAAGCCCAGCCATTTACCTCTGTCTCCCGTCACTTCCAGCCTTTCCTGCCTGCAGTCCCCCTCCCCAAGTGTCAGAGCTCCTTGCTGGGCCTACTTGCTCCACGCAGCCTCCGCTCTCCCCGAGCATTCTCACTGCAGGGCCAGCACATGGCTTCTTCCTGCTGCTCTTCTAGGGGAATCCGCTGATTCCTGCTCAGCTGTGCCTCCCCAGGAATCAGGGTTGGCTGACCCCAGAGCTCTCGTCCATGAGGGGCAAGTCACCCTGATATACACCCACCCATCCACACCCTTAGACCCTTGCCCAACGCCAGGGCACATTCTACAGTCGTTATTTCTTCCGTCACCCCTTGGTCTGTTTTTCCAATGACGATATCTCTGGCTGGTTAAACCCAAGGAGCAACTGGGCTGGCAAGCTCCATCTCCCCTACTGGGAGAGAAGCCCAGGCCACGCGTCCACCAGCATTTCAATTTGCCACTCCAAGCCCCCCTTGTCTTTGGCTAGCTCATCTCTTTCTTGTAGGGCCTGCTGCTTGTCCTCCTTCAAAGCACCAAGTTCCTGATGGTACCTCTCCTTCAAGGCAAGCAAGACACTAAGGTCCTCTCCTGTCAATACTGTGATTAGCCCCTTTCCCCAACCAGCAGGCCCGTCCCGCCAGTCCCTAGCCATGTTCGCCCTTCGGGCATGCCCTCCAGGGCCAATTCTCCTTGGCTCAGTGTCCTTTTCTCATGCCCCAATAGCAGCGTGCTCGCTAGCCGGGGGGGTGCTGTGTCCGTCACCACCCCCCTGCTTCTGGCTCTTGCCCGAGGGGCCGACATGCTTCCTCAAGCATGCAAGCAACTGCTCCCTCCTTGAATTCTCGCTCCGTTGGGCGGTTCCCTTTTTACACCTTCTGTTGTATTCATTGAGATGGACTGTAGGGGCCCAAAGAGTCAATGGTGTTAATATGACTCCGTCACTGTGCAACATTAAACAAGTTCAGTGTTTGCCACTCAGAGACCTCAGCCTGCTTAGTCCCAGGGCAAACACCCCATTAAACGTCCTTTGAACCGTGTATTACGGATGCAGAAAAGGATAGGGTTACCATTCGTCCATGTTCTGCTGGACATGTCCGGCTTTTTTGAGTTAAAAATAGCGTCCGGGGGGAATTTGTAAATGTCCGGATTTCCGCCCCATGCAAAGCGCGCGCGGCTGACAGGGCAGCCGGCCGGATCGTGCCACTCGCACGGGGCTCTGGCAGCCAGAGCCCCTCCTCCGCTTCCCCCTCCTCTCCCCTGCAACTTGAGACCACTCCCCTCCTCTCTCTCCCTGCATTCGCAGATCGCCGGCCGGC